GTTTTTCTTTCTTTCTATATAGTGTATTCATGTGTTTTGCTTCATACAACATATACATTATAGATTTAAATACACATCGATTTACTAATAGTTATTTTAATTAGATGTATCGGTAATTTTGTTTCATATGAAAGTGAAACTAATCTCTCGAACCACAATCCTACTGTCTGTGCACGAGTGTACTTTATTTTTGAAGGATACAATAGTATAAGTGTATATAACAAATGTTCAAGCATGGATTCACGCTCCAACTGTGACAGTTTCATTCCTGCACGTTCATGAGCATGCCATGTATGTTAACGAGCAGCAGAGAGCGCCACTGAGCGGCACACAGTGGGGATGTTCATGGATATTAATATCAATAATAGAAAAACTTGAATAACTCATCGCTATAATTTTCATGATAATTTTCTGTTATGATATGAGGTAAATATTATTCTCTTTGCTGCTGTACGTAAAATGCAAAATATAATCAACAAATATATGATGATTGATGGATAAAAATGTAACCTTACTGACCCAAACAAAAAAATAGCCTTTCACGTAACAAAGCTTCCCAAAACCTTTCAGGATTCATGCTGGATATGTACAGCGTAGGGCACTGAAGAACGATGCTGTTCCTACTTTGTTTGGACCAGCGGGAGTTTGGGTGAACAAACTGTATGTATTCATTGTTGTTTGTGTATTTATGATGTTTAAAACAAACAAGGTATCTACCACGACTGTTTAAATGGGTAAACGTTTTTTCGGACTATTACGTTGAAATGCTCTCCGCAGACCCATGCTCACAGCGTTATAAACCTTTTTCTTACTCAATATCAAGCCACACTTATTGTTTTTACTTCAGCTGTGAGTGTTTGTGTGTGCTCAGGATGAGTTTCGCTTGTTCTAGCTTTATCGCCAAGCCTGTCTGCTCCTCCAGCAGTGTGTGTGTCTGTGTGTGTGCGAGCAATGCTAACTGGGCTAACTAAGTTGCTAGCGTTTCCATATATCAACTCCAATGTTAGCAGATGGCCTTACATGTATCTCATAGCTGGAGAATGTCTGCAATCACACACGAAATACTCATAGACAGTATACTCCGGGTGATTTACCGTACATTATAGTTGGCGTTCCTGGCGTGTATGCTACCGAGCTACCGTTCATAGCGTGTATGCTACATAGCTAAACAACAAGGCTACCTAGAGCTAGACATGCTAGGGAAAACATTGTTTTCATGCCAGCTACAATGAATGACCGAACGTAGCAGACTACCCGTATAAGATTGCAATTGTAAACATGTTCTTGCTAGCCTAGACTAGCTGTATAGTAGATTGGCATATTTCACTGAACAACTAGCAAACGTAGGTTAGCATATTAGCTGGCAAGCTAACTGTGTTGATTAGATAGATAAATTAGATAGATACACACTCCTACCACAACTACTACTAACGAATCTAAAACAACTAAGTTTCTCTAATATTTTGTGATTTGCATTTGATTTTCGTCCAGCCGGATCAGGAAACTCCTGGCGTATCTGCCGGACAACACACACACGGGATGACCACTCTGATGCCTCGTCCTAAAAAGCCCCCGCACCAGTTTACAAAGCTGCGATAGGCAAGATGCCGAAAACGCCTATAAGGGGAGGAATGGATGATATACAGTGTATATATATATATGTACATTTACTAGGGCTGTCAGTCGATTAAAATATTTAATCGCGATTAATCGCATGATTGTCCATAGTTAATCGCGATTAATCGCAAATTAATCGCACATTTTTTATCTGTTCTAAATGTACCTTAAAGGGATATTTTGCAAGTTTTTAATACTCTTATCAACATATGAGTGGACAAATATGCTTTATATGTTTGTTTATTATCATTTGAACAATGACAAATATTCTCATGAATATTAAACACAACAACCTCAGACATTACAAATATTCGCCTCAATTCAACCTGGAACCTCTCTCATACAATAATACAACACGTAAGGTGTGCCTCGCTCGCGCAACACATACACACACCCTCCCGGTCCTCCCGATGGCCAGTCCGGGCCTGCCGGTGAGCGTGGAAGTGTGGTCTGCCACAAGCGGGCGGCAGGAGCGGGGCTGTCAGCATCAGCTTGTAGATGGTATTTTAAACTCGATGCGCTCTGAAACTACGGGGCGGCCGAGGACAAAAAATACACATGCGTTAATCGCGTTAAAATAATTAGTGGCGTTATTTTTTTTTTGCTTTAGCGCGTTATTAACGCGTTAACTTGACAGCCCTAATATTTACACATGTTCATTTTGTACATTTCTAAAAATAAAGTTTGATGGAAATACTTAGTATTATTTGCTCCTATAACATATCATTCATATATAGCAAACCATTGATTTTATGTTTGCAGGAAATTATGATTAATCACCTGTCCACTAAAGTGGACGTCATGCATCACTGGCTATATTTCAACTACAATTCATACTGTTACTGCTACTGTTGTTGTTCTCCTATAACATATCATTCATATATAGCAAACCATGATTTGATTTCTCATCAAACAGTAGTAGTTTATTACAGGTAAAAATAACTTACTCTTCTATAACAACAGTTGTAGGTACAGTTCGGTTAGTTAGCGTATAAAATAAACGGCTGTACCGACGCCATTATAAGACTGATGTTCCGCTCAGAGCCGAAAAAACAGTGTTAGACATGGGCGGAGCCTCTCTGGTGGTTGACTAATCAGAACAGAGTGCCCGAGCTGACCAATCGGAGCACACTGGGCTCACAGGGAGGGGGGGAAAGAGCTGCAACGAGCCGTTTAGTGGAGAGAGTGAATACTGCTGAATACACACACTTTACAGAGATGCTGTATGCGAAACCAATGTGAGTTTGGAAAAATGCACAGTATAAATCTATTTTAGTATACCTCAACAATGGAATTATGATCAGTGGAAATGGCCATGACATGGGACCTTTAAGTAACCCAAAATGTTAAACAGTAACAGTAGTAGTCATATTTCGTGAATCCTTTGAAGAGTACTGTCACACCGGTGTGATCATTCTATAATACACCGTTTAACACTAGAACCGCCAGAGGTTTTTGTATACCTAAAACCGCCACCGGGTCAAATTGACCCGCTATTAGAATGCATTGATTTTCAAGGTAAAATGTTCTTTTATTGAACAGTCAGTGCTGATCTATCTATATATCTATAACTATCTATCCATCTATCTATCTATCTATCTATCTATCTATCTATCTATCTATCTATCTATCTATCTATCTATCTATCTATCTATCTATCTATCTATCTATCTATCTATCTATCTATCTATCTATCTATCTATCTATCTATAACTAGCCTATCTATCTATCTATAACTATCTATCGATCTATCTATAACTATCTATCTATCTCTCTCTCTCTCTCTCTATCTCTCTCTCTCTATCTATAACTATCTATCGATCTATCTATAACTATCTATCTCTCTATCTCTCTCTCTCTCTATCTCTCTCTCTATCTATAACTATCTATCAATATATCTATCTATCTATCTCTCTCTCTCTCTCAATCTATCTCTCAATCTATAAGGAACCGCAGTAGACAAAAGGCGATGCTATAGCAACACGTCATGTTTATGTTTACGCGCGAAATCAATAGCGCGAAAAGGGGTGGGGTCAATATGACCCGCTGGCGGAAATAGATATAAATGGCAATTATTTTGGCGATTTCTTCAATCTGACTTCATATTGACAATTTCTAACAACAGAGGGTGCTACATAACACACTTTCAGGAAAAGTCACGGACTGGGAGACTTTAATATTTTATTGAAAAAAAGTTACATACAATAAAAAAACAGCTGTGGGTCAAATTGACCCAATGGCGGTTTTAGTGTTAAGCCCGGATGCCCCCGGTGGATAAATGCTAACGCTAACGCTACATTAGCATCGGCAAACTTTTCTACTTCATGCTATCTGCACAAATGGTTGACATGTGTTACTTCACAGTTTTACGACACATTGTAATTTTTTTAACTTTCGAAATGATCTTTTAAATTGACAAACATCATATGTGTAATTCGTGGCACAATTCAAACGGGATCGAAAGATAATCTTTCTCTCGCCATTGACTTCAATACATAATTTTTCCGAAATAAGGTCCCATGGAGGTCCACCGGAAGGGGAGGGACTTCGCCTCTCTATTGTCGATATCTTGCCAATCCTTTTATGGAAAGCGCCCCCTACTCTGCAGGTGTAACAATGTTGCTGACATCAAGTAACAACTAAGGAATCATATCATTCATAAATTGTCAAAGTATTGATTTTATGTTTGCAGGAAATTATGATTAATCACCTGTCCACTAAAGTGGACGTCATGCATCACTGGCTATATTTCAACTACAATTCATACTGTTACTGCTACTGTTGTTCTTGAAAATACTTCATTTGCAATATTATTTTGGGCCGTAAATCAATATACTTATGTTATTATAATGTAATTTTAAGTTTGCACATCTTTATTTATGATTTTTTTCCAAATGTACATGTCTTCAGTTCAAACTTTAACGCATACTGTCCACCTGAGTGGACATAATACACATTTTTTTTTCAAAATTTGAAAAAACTAGATAAGAAGAAACTAAAGTTAAAATCTTGTTTTTCATGCCCCATGGGCAATAAAAACACTTGGTAAAAAAATCCTGACTGAGGTTTTCATAATTCATGCATGAAAGGGTCATACGAAGCCAGATTAAATTAAATAACTATTTCTCAACCCTTATACTTTTCTCCAGAGTGCCGTGCTTCATTGTTTTTTAATGTTGTTCAGCGGCATTTACCGACCGCTGCAGTGCCACTGGAGTTTATTCTCCCGTTAACTCACGGCAGCGGCCGCTGTAAAGTCTTCACTGTCTGACTGTCACACAAGCAGCTGATAAATATCCCCCCCCCCCCTCAAGTGAATGTGTTTCAGTCTGAATTGACGCTGTTTGGCATCACAACGCTGTTATGAGTTTCTCTGGTATAAAATGGGTAAGGTTAGCATTGCAACCGAAGCTAATCTGACTATCTTGACTACTTGTTGCTATCCTATTGTGGCATAAGCCGTTTTCTACAGGCATATTTTACCGGCGTATTTTCCATTATGATTCTACTTGTGATAGTCGGACATGACAACCTGTGCAGCCCATGCATTGATTCCATCCGATAGCTGCTATAATACAAAACAAAACGTCTGCCTGCTCTCCACAATGATCAATAACAGCGAACGGATGGTTAAAGTAAGGTAAAAATAAACAGAATCACACTAAACCTGGTTAGTGTTGCCTGATTTTTTTAAGTGTGGTTGCGTTCTAGTCACTTTGCTCAGTGCTACTGCTTGTTACAACTTTTATTTGCCGTACTCGCCATTAACTGTTATGGCTCAGGTTAATCTTGCCCCCCTCCGACGTGAGCGTGGTTCTTGGTTCTTGCCGGGCAGCCGAGTGGGGTAAGCTATGAACCGGTTTTCGGTGCTTAGAGCCGGCTCCGCTGCGGCTCCGCTGCGGCTCCGCTGCGGCTCTGGCTCCGCTGCGGCTCCGCTGCGGCTCCGGCTGCGGCTCCGGCTGCGGCTCCGGCTGCGGCTCCGGCTGCGGCTCCGGCTGCGGCTCCGGCTGCGGCTCCGGCTGCGGCTCCGGCTGCGGCTCCGGCTGCGGCTCCGGCTGCGGTTCCGGCTGCGGCTCCGGCTGCGGCTCCGGCTGCGGCTCCGGCTGCGGCTCCGGCTGCGGCTCCGGCTGCGGCTCCGGCTGCGGCTCCGGCTCCGCTGCGGCTCCGGCTCCGCTGCGGCTGAAACAGGAAGAACCAGAGCTAAATCAGGCTCTAGCCCGGAACCAGCCCTGGAACCTGTTTGGTGGAAAAGGGGCAGAACCAGAGAAGAACCAGTTTAGCACCAGAAAAGCACAAGAACGGATCTTGAACCGTAACCGGTTTGGTGGAAAAGTAGCATAAGCCGCTGGGAGTCCCAGCAGCTTCTACTGAAGCCAGTCCCCAACTCCGGGGACTTCCGGCCGGGGACTTCGGGTGGCAGTATACGCCGTGAAGTTGTTTGCGGCCTGCCAGTAAACCCAAAGCAGAAGAAGAAGAAGTGACGTCAGCGGCTTCATTTGCCTAATCCTTCCCCAGGAACTTATTCCGGTGTGAACGCGATCTGTACTTAGAGTTCTCATGAACTAAGTTCTCATGAACCTTTGTGGGAAAAGTACTGCGGTGTGAATGCGCCTATAGTGTTTATTGGCGGTTGGCAAACCACTTAAGAGTACCGGAGTGTGAAACAAGAGCTATTGAGTCAGTGTTGTGGTGCTGTTGCTTTGGTCTGGATCTGTGAGCTAACCACGCCCCGTTCATTTGAATATAAGAAATGGAAATGTAATCTGGCATTATGAAATAAAAGTCCCCTGAAATAAATAAATGTGGCATTATGAAATAAAAGTCCCCTGAAATAAATAAACGTGGCATTATGAAATAAAAGTCTCTTGAAATAAATAAATGTGGCATTATGAAATAAAAGTCCCCTGAAATAAATAAATGTGGCATTATGAAATACAAGTCCCCTGAAATAAATAAATGTGGCATTATGAAATAAAAGTCCCATGAAATAAATAAATGTGTATTTAAAGGTACATTTATATATATTTATTGCCTTATTTATTTCAGAATGTATATCATAAGTTATAACCTCATTTATTTATTTCATAGGCATATTTATATATATATATATATATATAGATATGTATTTATGTATTTATTTAATTTGGGCTTAAACGGCATTCCATATACTCCAAGGCCGCTGGAACGTGAACGCACCTTTCATTTATTCCAGGTGACCGGAGAGCCCCTGCCTCTCTTCTTCGGATTTAGATCTGACCGTTGCGGTTTACACACAACAGGTATGCAGGTCTTGTTTTTCTTTCTTTCTATATAGTGTATTCATGTGTTTTGCTTCATACAACATATACATTATAGATTTAAATACACATCGATTTACTAATAGTTATTTTAATTAGATGTATCGGTAATTTTGTTTCATATGAAAGTGAAACTAATCTCTCGAACCACAATCCTACTGTCTGTGCACGAGTGTACTTTATTTTTGAAGGATACAATAGTATAAGTGTATATAACAAATGTTCAAGCATGGATTCACGCTCCAACTGTGACAGTTTCATTCCTGCACGTTCATGAGCATGCCATGTATGTTAACGAGCAGCAGAGAGCGCCACTGAGCGGCACACAGTGGGGATGTTCATGGATATTAATATCAATAATAGAAAAACTTGAATAACTCATCGCTATAATTTTCATGATAATTTTCTGTTATGATATGAGGTAAATATTATTCTCTTTGCTGCTGTACGTAAAATGCAAAATATAATCAACAAATATATGATGATTGATGGATAAAAATGTAACCTTACTGACCCAAACAAAAAAATAGCCCAGGCCCACCTGTATTTTAAGGTAATTAAAATAACCCCCCACTTTCCCGAAACACTGAAATGATAAACACTTAATAATATTGTTCTGAATGAGCTATAGTTTATAATGAATACTTTTACTTTTGGGGCTGTACATATATTTAGATGCTAATTATGTCTTTCTTTTAATTACTTAACATTTTAAAGCAGGACCTTTGGCTGATGAATAAATAATGAATGCAAAATTCAAACAGTTCAAATCATTCTGTTTGAGCTGTAAGATTAGAACTTTATTAATCTTTATTCATATGTTATGTGCATAATTATGTACATTTTTCACAATGTTTTTTCATTTTTGTATTAATGTTGACAATATTTCATGGTATACTGTGCAGCAGAAGATAGAATTAAAATGGAAACAGTCTCGCACTTGATGCTTATCATTTTTTTATATCAATTTTTTCTTGAAAACTGAATATGCAGGCTACAGAACCCAAACTCAGAAGAACTCCAGTATAGGCGACAGAGTGTAACACACACACTTGCTTGCCTGATGTGTTCTATAAAACAATTGGTCTAAATGTGGGCTGGACACAAATAGGCTGTATTACAAACGTATTTGAGGTATCAATGACCCTCCCATGGTATAATATACAACATGCATAGTATCTTTGGTTTTGGAATAACATGCACAAGCAGATAGACGTTCCTGCACATATGTACACTTATATTCACACATACTTACAATTGCTACTCTCATACCGCGTTACACACATGCAAAAAACCCAACATGTAAACAATTAGTGTTTTTATAACTGTATTTAATCCTCTTTTTCCCTCTCTGCTGCTGCTTTATATTTGGTTTCAGAGCTTCAGGATGCTTCATGTGTCTCCAAACTTCCGGTTTGGTGCCTTCACTGTCCTGCTTTTCAACACCACTGTCTTCCTCGCCCTGATACACTCATGTAGGTGAATCACATAAACCACTAACAGTCTTCTGTTATTGCAGAAAGTACGTTTAGAAACCTTTTTGTTTGTATTCAGGTCGTTCTCAGGTGATAGTTCCATCCCAGCCAATAGTGGCAATAGTTGGCGATGATGTAATTTTGCCATGTCTACTGGACCCTGTTATGGATGCCTTTCAAATGACTGTGATGTGGGGCAGACCTGGCCTGGTCCCTGAGTTTATCCTTGTGTGGAGTGTGGGTGAGAGTACAAAACATCCGTCCTACAGAGGAAGAACATCTCTGTTCACCGAGGAACTGAAGCACGGAAACGTTTCACTGAAACTCTCCAACGTTAAAAGATCGGATGAGGGAACATACAGATGCTTCATTCCAGAGTTAGATAGATCCACACATTTTCAGCTTGTTGTTGTTTATAAGCACAATTTTAACTAAGCAACGATTTTTTTATTATTTTCCCCTGTCATACAACACTATGAAGACAACAACTAAATGGAAGTTTGAATGATTTCATTCTTCTTTGTGCCAAAATGTGTCATGGCCTAAGTTAATTAAAGTGTAATTAATACATTAAGTGTCTCAATTACATTTTTTATTTTATCTTTGTTAAAATAGTTATTATAGAATGGTGCACATAATGTAAGGGTGCAGCGAGGCGGTCATTATTAAAAAAAGAATACCCAACAGGGTGATCATTGAGTCCGACGTGAAGCAGCGGGATCTTGATCAGATCATCTCGCTGCAATTATCCCGCTTATTACACGGCCATGGACTAAATAAACTAGAGCTTAATTTCCATTATTAATCAAATTATTTTATTGACTTGAAAATTATCGTATTGGAGTTCCGACAACAACAAAGTAACTTAAAATGAATGACTAACAGACGTTTTCTGTAACTGTTCAGAATCAAGTATTCAACTGAGCAGAGTAATAATCACTTAGATATGCAACCCGAAAGTTTGCATCGCAAAGGCTCCCTCGACAAGGGCGAATGGGATTTTTCCATTGGATTTTTGAATATTGCAAAAAATAATGTTTATGATACTTACATGTTTTTTTAAGGAGGATATTTCCATATTAACACCACTTTTATAATAGTTTAATGCAAGTAGGCTACCAGAAGTAAAAAGCTAACTTTAGTCTATAAATAACTACATTAGAGATGGCAAATCCGGATCCTTTTACGGACTCAGGGTCTTCTGAGTCAGTCATTGAAGAGATCCGGATCATACGAGTCATTTGAGTCATATTAGTCAGCATCACCAAGACCGTAGAAATCCTATCGGTGAAACCGAAAAGTTGTTGCATTTCACGAGCATATTAAACTGACGTTATATTAACCTCCGCTACACAGTGTATTTTGCTATAATAAAAAATGTTGATCACAAAAAAAAGGGTTATTTTGCGATTTGGCAAATCTGAGTCTGCTGTTGACTCGTGCATGAGAACGAGTCTGCTGGATCTCTGGATCTGCTGCTATATGGCTACGGCTCTGAGTCCGCACGAGTCTGCTGTGTTTTGCACAGTGAGTAAGGATTTGCGAATCTGAGTCTGTGAAGTTCCGCTGACTCGGAGGCTACTGGTCTCTCTCGATCATTGACCTGGATTCACGGATCCCGCGATTTTGATTCATTTGATCACAAAAAAAAGGTCATTTTGCGATTTAGCGAATCTGAGTCTGCTGTTGAATCGTGCATGATGACGAGTCTGCTGGATCTCTGGATCTGCTGCTATACGGTTACGGCTCTGAGTCCGCACGAGTCTGCTATGTTTTGCACAGTGAGTCAGGATTTGCGAATCTGCGAATCTGCGAGTCTGCGAGTCTGCTGTTGACTCGTGCATAATATAGCTGCGGGAGCCGGGTGCTGGAGGAGGGGCTATGCTCGTGCACATGACGAGTATGGATCTCTGGATCTGCTATGCTATTACGGTTAGGAGCCGTCGGCTCCTCTGAGTCCCCACGAGTCTGCAGGAAGTTTCACTGATCCGCGTCCCCTCCCCTGAGCCAAACGATCACTTCTGGCAGCTATCCACTTGCTAAAGGGTAGGCAGATGGACTGGGGTACGTTGTAATGTGATTTTACATGTTATAAAGAGAGTAGCGAGTGACGCAATTTATAGTTTTAATTTGTACGTCACACCAAGTGTGGGACTCAAAGGACTCGGGTTAATGGAGAGGGGAGACTCGTCATGACCAACTCATTTCTAGGATCCGGGTTAATGATCCGGATGAATCAGGACTCGCCCATCTCTAAACTACATCGCTAATAGCTAAGGTGGCTTATGTTTGGCGTGATGACGTTCAGTACTCTCATTTAGTCATTTGTAGCTGTTTTCAAGACACATCATCTAACCAAAAGAGGGAACCCGTAAGTGCTAAAATGCTAACTCATTTCAGAGTTTAGCACTCATTCCCCCGCCACTCTATTTAAGAAAATAAGAACAGCTGATGTAAAAGATGTCCGTCAGTCATGTATGTGTATAAAGTTAGGTACCATTACGCTACTTTTGTCCAGAGAAACATTTTACTTCAGTGATTTAGCTAGTAAGCTAATTAGCCAGGCACGCTAACAATACCACTTTTACAATAGTTGAAGGGTAAATGCATTTTAAACAAACTACACCACGGCATCACCACCGCTAAGCTAAAATTGGCTAATGTTTGGCCTGTTAATGTTCTCATTTATTCATTTGTTAGCAACCGTTGTTTTTAAGGTACATCGAAGCTTCAGACATTCATGGCTGGGTTATTTAATGACGTATTTTATGTCGTAGAGCAAACTATGAAAATCTTGTAGGCTTTTATTACCTCAGACCTTATTTTAAGCATCTATCCAAAAAACATATTTAAAAAAACACTTAATTCAAGACGAGATTTTTGAGCTATATACGGGTACTTCTGCTCTCGACAACCAGGCAAGACGGGTAACTTGTGGTGGTTTACTCTCGAGAGCCTCAGGCTATTTGTGCATTATGTCCCATGAGTAGCTCTCATAGGAATTAACGAGGCCTCGCCTCCAACGCTGTATCCAGTTCTTTAAATACATCCATGATTTAGCCAGGCATGCTAACATTAGCATGTCTAATCGATGACCCACTTTTAAAACTTCTAAACTAAACTCTCTGTTCTTTTGGTGCCGTCTCCTGGCCTGTTGTCAACGTGACTAAACACATGAGTGAAGTGGTTCTCCAGTGTGAGTCTGGAGGCTGGTATCCACAGCCTGAGGTGCTGTGGCTGGACGCTGAGGGAGAGCTGCTCTCTGCTGGACCTACAGAGACCCTCAGAGGTCCTGATGACCTCTACACCGTCAGCAGCAGAGTGACTGTGGAGAAGAGACTCAGTAACACCTTCACCTGTAGAGTCCACCAGCAGGACATCAACTGGACCAGGGAGACACACATCCATGTTCTAGGTTATTCAAGTTTATAAGGCTGTGATCACTTTCAGATTTTATATACATTTCATAATCTGTGTTTTACCATTTCAGATCATTTATTCATGGTCCCAAGTACTACTGGTAGCCAACATGTTATTATTGGCTTAGTTATTGGCTGTATGGTGGCAATTCTCACCGTTCTCTTTGTTGTGTGGAAATGGAGACAAAAGAAATTCAGTAAGTAACAAACTAATTTCACATCTTTCTTAATGTTCAATAAACTGCAGCAACTCTTTGATGTCTGTATGTCTCATAGCTGTGCCTGGAGGCATTCTCTTTTCGGGCATTTTGTTACTCCATTAGTCATGAATGCGAAATCTCAAGGGAGGGAATTTCTCCAAATGTGGCATGAATCAAAACGTTTTTAATATTTATCGTCCTAACATGCTCATTTTCTACGGTAATGTGTCTGACCCCCCACCGATGCTGTATACGAAGTTTGGTGTTGAAAAACTGAAAATTGAAATTTAAGTGAATATTTCACTGTTTTCAACATTATGCTAATTTAAATTAAAAATAATGTAGGCGGAGCTTAGGGTTCCAAGAGGATTATTTGTAGAGCAGGTCCACCCGGATATGTGTGCAAAATGTCAGGTCATTCAGTGTTACGGTGCGACTTTGTACATTTATTCCGAAATGGGATTTTGATAGGTGGCGCTAGTGAGCAGGTTGGAATATTTAACCCATTGACTCCAGAATATTGTAGTTTTCACCAGTCCTGGCGTCCGTGCAAAATTATACAACTTTGTAAGCGTCCTAAAGGCCTCAAAAACACGAAACGCCAGCAGAAAAATAAGAATTCCTCCAATAACAATAGGTTCCTCGCACGCTCCGTGCTCGGGCCCTAATAAGAAGATGATAAAAGATTTGAAGAACTAGTGGAATGCTGTGAAAAAAAAAGAAATTCTAGAAAATGTAAAGTTTAATAAAGCCATAGTTTTTCAAATTGCTTTACAATAAGAGAAACTACATTTGATTTATACAAATATTTTAGGTATGTACATTACAATTAAATGTGTTTTTTGTATCCCTCTCATCATTGTGATTATGGTCAGTAATTGTTGTTCAAAATAGAGATTTAAATTATTTATTTTTTCAAAGTTAAAGATGAATATAATCGATTAATTTCAGGATACATGACGCATGGTATAATATAAACAGAAGTGATGGAATTAACTTTCCAAGCATGCGTTTTTTTGTAGTTTTTTTATTCTAAGGATAACGGAGCTATGTAACGGTTCCACTTCCTCTGTCTGAGCGGTTGCCCTCTGCGAAGATCTTCTATTGAACAGCTTATAAGCAGGAACTAAAAAAGGAAAACCTTTGAGTTAAAGATGATTGGAGTTGAGGTGTAAACATTGGAATGTAACCAAATGTAACCAAGTTTACTTTTGTATTGTAGTTATACTGTACAATGGTTGACATACTTATACTTTACTTGAGTATTTTAATGATGTGCTACTTATTCTCCACATCTCAGAAATATTCCTACACGATGTAATAATTTATAATGATGAAAAAAATGTAATGAGCGATTCTATGATGTAACTTTTACTCTTACTACTTTGTACTGCTACATTTTAAATTCAGGACTTTGTCTAGATCATTTTATGACCTACTCTTAAATGTTCTGAGTACTTCTATAGTCTCTGCTAATGAACCATAGTATAATGCACGTACACATACACATACAGCAGAACCAATAATACACATCAATCTTAAGTGTATAGTACAAGTGTAGTTCTTCCCTTCTTTCAAACACTTCTACGGTTCTCAGAAACCTGGTCAGAGTGAGCCCTCTGCCTGTTTTCTCTCCTCTGTGCTGCCCATATGTCAAAGTCTTTGTGCTTTTCAAGACAGCGAGGCGACAGAGGGGAAAAAAACAGCTGGATCCAAGGATCAGTGCTGCTAGCGACTCAGCTAGCTGTATCACCCCATCAAGCTAGCTCTTTTTCCTCGGCTGCCTGACTTCCCTAAGGTACCGTACCTCAAACCTATTCGTTAATCGGGAGAAAAATGCTCTTTATCCCGGGCCGGTGTCGTTTTTACCTGAGCTTTCTGTTTTGACCTATTTTTCCAACTGGCTGCCCGGCTAGTCAGTTAGCTTCCATATTAGCTTCCCTGGATGCTGATTAGCGAGCTAGCTAATTAGCCTCCTGCTGCTTCATAAGCAGGTATCAGAGGATTACATTAGCTGTTTAGACTAAAGAGAGGACACTCTCCCTTAACTCACTTCACTTTCATTGTTTCCCTTTGTAAAACAGACATTGTTATTGCTTTATTAGCTACAATAAGTCACATTGCTACTAATTATTACCTGGTAACTATTATGTCCATTATTCGTTTTAATAGGAGGAATCACAGATATTGGTCTCATATTGTATTTAATTTGGCTTTCATCAGCATGCAGGTATTTTTCTTTCTTATAATGTAAAAACAAAGTGTCCAAAACAGATTCAAGTATACATTCCTGAAATAACCACTTTAAGCACTTACTTGGGTTATGATGATTATTGCGTGCCTTCATCACTAATAAAGCATCTTGAATCTGTACATAGACATCATCATAATGTATTACTTACACTGCACAATTTGTCATTTTCAAGCTGTTGTTTACATAACAAAATATTTCTGATATTGATTTATATAATAAATGTATACCTAATCACACATGAAGTAATCAACTAAATACTAAATGCACTTAATGATGTATCAAAAGTACAAAAAGAAAAAAACAGAATCACATTTTGTCAGTTTTAGAATACGCTTAGCTTTTAAATAAAAAGTTGGATGACACAATTTAGTAAAATGATAAAACACCATGGACTCAAACCATTTGGTTAAGATGTGAAATCAAATCTCAAGTAAAAGTAGAAAAGTATTAGAATCAAAATATAGTTAAAGTACCAAAAGTAAAAGTAGTCATTGTGCAGATTGGTCCATTTCAGAATAATATATATGATATGTTTTATAATGATTGATCATGAAAGTGTTCTCAAAGCTGGTAAAGGTGCAGCTAGTTTGAATGACTTTGTATACTGCAGGGTAGCTTGTGAATTTACTCCAGGTGGAACTAAAGTCTGATTTAACACTTGATTATATTTCACACCATTAATCCACATCTGTAAAGCAACTAAAGGTATTAAATACATGTAGTGGATTAAATGTACTCTGACATCTGGAGTAGATTGAAATACTCAAGTAAAGTACAAGTCTCTCAAAATTGTATTTAAAGGTGGGGTATGTAATTTATTTCAGAAACACTTTTTGTTATATTCCATGGAATGCTCTTAACATCACACATTTTCAGGGATTAACCATTTTTGCATAATTATTCTCATCAACATTGAAAAATATATTAAAATAATCTTGTTTTTAAAAATATCTATATTTTTCGTAGGAGGTCCCTCCAAACAAATATGTTTTGTTAAGTCTGAAGAATAAACATGTTTGCCATGTATTTCTCTGAATCTACACAATAATTCATTCAGAATGGTATTTTATTTACATTTTAATGTTTTTGTTTTGCACAAACATGAAACTGAATTTCAGTAAACAAATTATAAATAGTCCAGAAAGAGGCAGAAAACACACTAGGCTCTCAAGACTCCACCTTAATAATGTTAAAAATCACAGTTTTATAGGAAACACAAGATCAATATACGAAAATTAGCTCTAATAAAAAAATGATGGCAATCTTTAGGAGCAGCATGCATACTAAAAACTTCAATCATTTTACACGTCAATGTTTTAACACATATTTGGCCTTAAACTAATATTAAGCTTCCTGCAATTTGAATATTGAACTAGTCCATACTGAGAATTCGATAACATTTCGATGTAATGTGCAGCCCTACGTAAATACAGTCCCAACCGACAGTGAACCAAGTGAGTGAACTCAGAGCACCGTGAGCAGCTCTAATGAGATTGAGCCTGGCCTGCGTCCAGCCTGCAGCTCCTAATGCCTGTAATCAGTCCTGTCGCCTCAATTACAGCTCCACGTCTGCTGCTGAGAGGACACTGGACATGTCTGAGGAGGCTCAAAATAGACACAGAAACATTGTTGACGTTTATTTTATGTAAGGAGCTAGTCAGAAGTCCACAGTGGAGTTAGGACTGTCGCTGCCTGATCCATACCCGGAAACCTGATTTTGTTCTGCGCACATGAACAAATACAGCTACTTCAAATCAGCACTTTTGTTTTACTTTTAATGTTTATTTTATTATCTTTTCTTTTTAATGACTGATTTTAAATGCCATTTTCTTAATGTCTTCCATTTTTGTAAAGCACTTTGAATTGCCTTGTGTTGAAAGGTGCTATATAAATAAACTTGCCTTGCCTTGCCTCGCCTTTACATCGTTGTTTCATTTTGAATTGAAATACGGTTTCGACAACAACATCCCAAGACGGCTTTCAGAAATAAACTAAAGAATGAATTGAAACGGGCGCAAATAAATACAGGAATAACATATCAAAACTGACAAGAAGTTAAAATATATAACATACATTGACAAAATAACATATCGAACTGAGGGCATGATGGACGAAAAACAAACAAACAAAGAAAAATAAATAGATTTAAAAAATCTTAAATCCAATAATGTGTTTAGGGAAGCTTGAATTATAATCACTTTATCTTGATAAGTGAAACATATCTTTAGAAATAAATATTGATAAAATATGTTTAGTGTGAATTTTAAACCACGACCAAAACCTAGTGGTCCACTTAAATTGGATTACATTTTTTTTATCTTAGGTTGAAATGTATCATAACTGGTATACATTATATTATATTTAATTTTTCATAGTTACATTACTTCTCTTTATTCAAGCAATGCATTTGACCAGATTGTATTTGTTAAAGAAGGCTGAAATTAGCTCCCCATTTTACATGCTTTAACAACACAAGTCAAATGCATTTATTTAATATTTTTAACATTTAACATTTCTATTTTCATAACAACTCAAACCAAAGATAACATTATTTGTATTTAAATCCCCCAAAACTGCTATACATTGCTTGGACATACGTCAGTCAGTATAATGGGAAGTAGCTGTATTTGCGCTGAACAAACCCGGTATCCGGTACAGGTTGAGTGACATGGACAGAATCAAACCTGGCATTGCAACCCAATTTCAGAATGCTTTGTGCAGCCACTGTCAGTCAATAAATAGCTCCAACTTTTACTGCTGCTAAAACCATAATAATACCTTTTTAGATTTCTACTTTCTACTATCCACTCAGCTTTCGGTTACACCTGACCTCTGAGGGAAATGTGAGAAAACACATTTCACTTCGAAATTCCTCCTGAATACTCCCATCTTTGACTTAACTCCAAAAACTGTGTTTCATCTCTCTGAATGTTTTTGTTTCTCGCTGCCTGGAAGAGTTCACATCCATCAGCTGTTCACATAAACACAGAAAAGCCGACGTACTTCTCCTTTCTTTTTTTTTGATTCGGTCTTATTTTTGATGTTGGCTTTCAGGCCTAAACTGTTGTTATCAAGGATGTTGGGCTCGACTGTTTCTCAAAGCTACAATCAGCAGTTTTATTTTGACCATTTTAGTTTGCGGGCGCTCCCACACAGTCTGAAAACAACTCCTCGCTTACATGAAAGTTCTCTTGGAGCTTTATGAACATACTGTGAATGCAAATCTGCTTTTAAAAAAAAAAACTAAATAAACCTCTTACATTTGAATAATTGTACAGAAAATGGTGGAGAAAAAAAGAGAGTTTACAACACAGGCTAAAACATAACAATGAATTCCTCTGAAACCAACTGCAGCACAATGAATGGTCTTTTTTAAAGAGGACATATTATGTTCATTTTCAGGTTCGTATTTGTATATAGTGCCTCTACTGTGACCTGTCTCCATGCTTTAATGTTCAAAAAGCTCTTTCTTTGTCTCATACTGCCTGTGCTGCAGCACCTCTTTTCACCCTCTGTCTGAAACCAGAGCCCAGTCTGCTCTGATTGGTTAGCTGGCCGGCTCTGTTGTGATTGGTCAACTGCTTGTAGATGTCCAACCCCTTAGCCCACGTACAATGTGTTGGAGCGCTAGCCAATAGAAGCGTGAGTGTTACTTAGTGATGTCACTATGTTACAGAAGTAAAGAAAGGAGTCCAATGGTGTCGTTTCAGGCAGTTTCTGGGAATGCACTAAAAGTTGCTCTAAAGCCATGCAGTTTTTGTGACATGAGCTGGATGGCACACAGCCCAAAACCACTTTACTGTTTTCAAAATGCTGTAGAGAGCTAATTTCTCAAGCTACAGTAAAGACCAACAGTATGATATTTAAAACTAAAAGATCAAACAAATCCGTTCATTTGAACCACCTTGATAGCTTGTCTGGAAGTGAACTAACTCTGAAAGTTGATTTCTGTAAGTTAAGTTGGCCAGAAATGACATGAAATTGGAAAATTAAACAAATCCATTGCTGTCAACATTGTCCCACTAGCTCCTCTACTCTCATGTGGGTTCAGGCTGTGTGTGGCATCTTAAATCTCAGAGTTCTCTGCGAGTCACGCTGCTCTCTGATTAGAGCTGATTATCCGCTGTTTGTTGCCTTTGATCACAACAGCTCAGGACGTTTGTGCAGTTGACAGTTTAAACGGTTTAAAACCTCCAGTATTACTGAAAAGGATTTGAGTTTAAAATCAAACAGCTCATTTTATTTCCAGCCTTTTGTTAGTTTGTAATCCCCCCTTTAGAATTACATTTTGATTTTTTTTCTTCACACTTTCCCGTTTATTCAGTATGTCATTTCAGTAAAAAAAAGAAATGTTTGGAAGTTTTCCACAGAACTGTTCTCAGTTTCCTTCAGCAGCTTCCTGTGTTTTATTCCTGCTGATTGTATCTCTGCAACATAAAACCCAATAGTGTTTATGGAGTATGCTTCTCCATAGAACGTACACACACAAGGTGTTACATCATCAGTCATTGAAGCACATGTTAAAGCACATGCAGAAAATAAAAAATATCTCTGACTAACGTGAGAAATATTTTGATTTTGAAAATGTAAAGCAGTTAAAAAGTGCTCTATAATGTACTTGTACATTGCTGTAGGATAACGTGTGTGTTTTGTCTGCAGCTGGTGGTGAGGCTGATGATGAGGTGTGAAGATGGAAGCTCCTGAATACCTGGACCTGGATGAGATCGACTTCTCTGATGATTCAGTGGTGAGTGTGATGTAAATAGTCTAACAGGAGCCATAAGATGAGGCCCCCTCCGCAAGATGAGCCCCCACGCAGTCTGCGTGATCTGTGTGTAGGGAGGGGCGGCCCTGTATCTAACAAACAATAACCTCAACCCAGCATCCTACCTGAGGCCTGCACTACGAAGCAGGATTTGGGGTTAGTGAGGTAACTTCAGGGTTAACTCAGAGTTTTCTGTCCTACAACGCTGGTTCACTTCTTACCGGGGGGGGGGGGGTAGATAGTAGCCATGGTAACTTATGGTGAACACCTAACCTGCTCCGGTGCAGGTATTGTTCGAGATAAGAGATTAACTCGAATGTTAGCACCGCCTGCTGACCAATCAGGGCTCTGTGTGGAGAGTTTATAGCTAATATATAATATAGGGGAGGGATGAAACCCTCTTTTAATGGTCACACATGCAGAGCACACAGCACACAGTGAAATGTGTTCTCTGCTTTGAACCCATCCTAGTACCAGGAGTCTAGTACTAGGAGCAGTGCGCAGCTATTGTACAGCGCCCTATGAAGTCACATTCCAGGCTCAAGGAAACACAGATTAAACTGACACATGCAGGAAAGGCTAGCAATAACTCGCTGACTGTGAACATTCAAATAGAATATCACTGCCCATATTCAGAACTACTGTATCTGACTATTATTACATTTGCTGTAAGCAAGCTTACTTTAATATCTGCCACAAAAAATAAGTACCCAGAGCAAAGTAATTCAGAGCATTGCGTTCAGTCATCACTGTAAGTGCACAACGCCGATGTGTCGCACTTATCACTCAAATCACATAATCAATCACATCATAATATTTCCTTATCTGTGTCAGCTTCTCGAGCCCTATCTGGCCGTGCAACACTTACATTAAGTTGGAAGAAACACTCAAATGAAATTAAAGTCAGATCAACTCGTGTCTTAGATGGGAAAGTGATATCATAAACCTGTTCATTTACGCATCAAACAGTCTGTAGTTTGTTTTTTTCTGAAAAATATTTGTCTTTCTTTCTGCTCCTCCAGTATTCCGTGACGTCCCTGAAGAGCATCCCAGAATTATCCAGAAGGAGTGATGGCTCAGCCGAGGAGAGACCAGGTAGCTAAATATTATAAAATCAAAGCTTTGTTACGTTTTTACTATTCTTTTAACTAAAACTGTGTTGTGGAATTGCATCTACTCAGTGTACTGTTGGTGAAATTGTTTAAAATGTAAAACCTGAGGGGTGCAGTATGAAGCAGGATTAGCAGGAAGATAAAAGCATGGCATTAATCCAATATTGGGAGTCAAGACGCTTTTTTACATTCCACTGATCTCTTATCATGTTCCCTCCTCCTGTAGCTCCAGCCATCAACTGGAGTCGCAGCGTTTCCTCCCTCAGCAGCGGGGGAATCAAACCCACGGGGCTCGCTGAGGTCCACAGTAAGTTCCGGCCGGTGAAGAGGGTCTCTCCTCTCAAACACCAACCAGAGACCAGCGACTGCGACTCAGAGGGGAAAGTCCAGAGCCAGGGTCTGGGCGAGGAGGGGGAGGCCAGTAAGGATGACCCCAACTCTGACAAACCCACCCACGCCTCCACCTCCTCTGAGGGTCCGGGGGGGAAGGAGGACGGCGGCTGCGGGGGAGTGGTCGGAGGGAACAACCCCGGGGCTCTATTCGGGGAGCTGGAGCACTACGACCTGGACATGGACGAGATCCTGGACGTGCCGTACATCAAGTCCAGTCAGCAGATGTCCACGCTGCCTCGCGTCCCCCACGACAAGCGCTCGGTGACGGGGAGCAACCTGGGTGGAGGCACCCTGGGCGGTGGCACCCTGGGCGGAGGCACCCTGGGCGGAGGCACCCTGGGCGGAGGCACCCTGGGCGGTGGCACCCTGGAGAGGACCCGGGGAGGGGGGCTGAAGAGCTCCACTTTACCCCACAATGAGCCTCTGAGTCTGGGCAGCAGCTCACAAACTCCGGTACTTCTAAATTAAACTTCCATACTTTTCATGCTTCCAATTTCGTACAAATATTAGGCTTCCCTATCCTAACCCTCATCCGCCGCCTAAGTCTCAAACTATGGCATGTTGGGTTCTTCAATTTGAGGGAACAAAGAGTTCACAAAACCCCCTAGCATGGAAAAACGAAATTAATTTGTATAGATCTGTCAACATAGTAAAGAAAAACATCTGGGTTTGTTAAAGAAGACAAGCCTGCATCATTTCTTGAGTTCTTTCTTGAACTGAAAACCCAGAGCTAACAGCTACAGCGTCTTACAACTGACATTATGGTAGGAAGCTGCTTTTCTAGCTGACCTGATTCTGGCCTCCAACTCTGTAACTAAACTACACTTAAACAATTACTTTAACCAGTAATGGTGCCAGGGAAATAACCAATCATGAGACACACCAAGGAGTAGAGAGCAGCAAAAGAAGAGAAATGCGCCATCTCTTACTGCTCAGCTATAGTAGCTAACATTAGCCAAGCTTAAATGAGTGTGAACCACTGTGGATTTAACAAGAGAGTCTTTATGACAAGGGAAGTGCTTGAGCAGTATTAGTGTATAAGTAGATGAATACAGTTATTAAGTTGCTGTGATCAACAATTTAACATGATTAACCAAATTAAGCTCAAATACGCTACCAGCAACACCGACAAGCAGGAAAACTGTTTCATTTATAAAAGATAATTAGATATGAAATGTAATAGCGCACGGTGAGTAACACCAAATGTAAACATGTTTGTTTACACTGAAATCCAATAGTGCTGCTTATAACCTTTTATCTACTAAACCAGCTTTCTTTTAAAGGCTTCTGTTTCAGAATGTAATGTGGGCTTTATGAATGAATGATCTAATCAGCTGTTCATTTCATGTGTTTGCTGCAGTATTGTGTCCTGTCTCCGGTGAAGTGGTCCGACCTCAGGAAGTCCAAGTCGATGGATCCAGACCTCCACCACCTCCACCGCCCCCCCGCTGGAGGAGGCTACCAGTCGGAGCTGGTCTCCTCCGGGATCCTCAGCTGCTCCTCCTCCCTCTCTTCTTTCTCCGATGCAGGTACGGCCTAAACACACTGTCAACCTTTATTCTTCCTCCTGGTTCACCCTTCATTGATGAATAAACCCCCCATAGGGATGTGTAAGTATTCTCGTGATACTGACCATTTCAATTATTATTACATTTAAGGGCAATGTGATTGAGTCTGTATCTTCATATTAATATTAAGTCAAATTCTCTTCACACATTCAGCAACCTGTGAAGAAGTTGAGGCTGAGTTTTTATTTCAGAAATAAGTCTCCCCTTTGATGCAAAAGCCATTGCTACATTTATGTATTTGATTGACTATGGTAATGTTTTATAAAGGCATGCATCTTCTCAAAGACTTCACTACTTTGCTATGGGCCAGGGCTAGTCAGTTAGCATGCTAAACTTAGAACATATTTCTGCAACACAATAGAGTGGTATGGTGATGACGTATTTTTTTGGTCCAAACCAGCTGTTAGCATTGCAAGGTCTCCCTCGACTAAAAGCACATGGGATTTTATCAGTGGTGAATAGTCAGAGAATACCCTGGAACACTCTGATAAAACAAAAAATCGATTTAATTATATAAATAAAATGTAAATAAAATGAATAAATGAGTCATATCTGTGTTGTTGATCTGTAATATTACAGTGTTACGTTGATTGGTTAGTCCTTCTCGGTCCATGCACTACGCGTTTGAGTGGTTTTGTGTTAGAAAAAAAATGCAACCAATCAGATATTTTTCTTGGTCTCTGGGTAGAATATCCTTCAACCAAGGTATTCTATATCCTTGATAGAAGGCCCTGGCCCAGAGCCCTGGCCGTTGCACTGAATGAGAGCGTATGTTTGGATTGACAGTTTGATCAACCAATCATATATTGATTTGTAGCCAATGGGCGTATTCTTTCCGAGTTTCCCTCGGTTCCAGGGTAGACACGGTTCGCCATTGGATTTTATTATTGGATTTTGGAATGTTGCTAGATCTGAGGCAAACACACATTTATTATACTTACATGTTTTGTTCAGCAGGATAATCTCCACATATTGACACCACTTTGAGATTTTTTTAAGGGGCAATACAACGCTAGGCTATAAACAAACTACACATGATTGCATGACTGCACGCCACCACCTCTAAATTAAAGGTGGACTCATGTCGGCGTGATGGTGTTCAGTCGTCCTATTTAGTCACTTGTTAGCAACCACTGTTTTGATAACACATAGAACTCCGGACATTCACAAGGTTGTGCTAACCACAGACCTTATTTCATGCGTCTCGCCAAAAACATGTTTTAAAAAACTTTGAGCAAAATGCTAACTAATTTCTGCAACACAATAACAAGACTTATTTACCTAGCATCAACACAGTGACCTCTTCACAGCCTGTTTATAAGGTTTTTATTTCAATCTTTCCACATTTTAAACATTGCATCTTTGATTTCAACCATCTTCTCTTCTGTTATTTATTAAAACTGGTAATTAAAAGTGATCATTAACTATTAATATTGACTGACATGAAACATTTATTGCGATATATTTTTTTGCTATATAAAATATATAGACTTGATTGTCTTTATCTGTTTTTCTTGTCTTTATTTAATCAGCTGCTTCCTGTCTTGGGATGCTTTTTACGACATCCATAGTCTCAAGAAAGCTTTTCCTAGTAAAATACGTTTTAAATAAAATAATTTGATGTTTGAAAAATCTTTTCCAGACAAGCTGTTGTCTGCGCGGGTCTACCCGGACTCCCAGAGCCAGAGACAGAGCGTAGATCCTCCAGGTGGGGGCCCGGGGATGATGTTCCCCTTGCCAGGGTGCAGCGTGGGCCGGCAGGACGCCTCCATGCCCTGGGCTCCTGGATCAGGAGGGGGGGGAGGCGGAGGCAGCGGGGGGCCAAGGGGGTTCGGAGCAGGAGGCGAGGTGGACGAGGAGACCAAGAAGAACCAGAACATCATCAACATCGTCAGAGAGGGACAGATGTCTCTGCTGGTGAGTGGCTGCTCATACTAAAACAAATATTTCCTCTATCAATTGAAAGCCACATTGAAAGAACTATAGTTGGTGGAGGGGGGGGGGGGGTACTCTGAACATCTCAGGTGGTGTGCACATCAACACACTGGATCCAGGAGGCCGTTGGTTTGTGGATGATTTTCTCTAAATAAAAGTATATTGGCAACTTATTACAGATCTTACAATATCAACAAAAATATTAATCCCAAATAAAGTAGAATTTTATACTAACATAATATAATGCATCCTCAGGAGTAAACTGCTCCCTTTTCCTTCAACATAGGTGAAAATCAAAAAAAGATCTCTCAGGTAGATTTAACAGATAAACAAAACTTTGAACTAAACATGTCATATCAAACGATTTAGGTACAAACAATTGAGAACTCCATGTGCAAACTCACAGTGGTTTGTTCTGCCTGCAGTCTCTGGAGGGGAAGACGGCAGTGACAGGCCTAAAGGGCGGAATTTAGAAGCTTGGGAAGGGGAGTGGTCTACACTTGATTGACACTAGTGATTGAGGCAGAGAGGAGACTTGAGGTTCATCCCAATGTCCCTCCTCGTCTCCTCTCTCCTCTCTCCTCCAGAACTTGACTCGGAAGAATATAGGGACACGCCATATTGAAGGATGTCCCGATTGCTTAAATGCACACGGAGGAGTCGAGGAGGGAGGAGGGAGGAGGCTTTCAGAGGAGAGAATTTACACGAGTGCAGAAGTGTGTTCGCTACTTGCTCACCAAACTCTGCCCCCAGCTCCACAGCGGTCTGTTTACTACGGCTGTCTTTACTGTTAAAGGATGATCTGTCATTAAGTGTTCAAAGTAGTGACTTGAAGTAGTCCAATACAACCTGTAACGCGAGTAAGAGACGCGTCTTACAGGGGCGGAGCTAAGATGCAAGGAAGAGACGCAAGTGAGGGAAAGGCGGGGGCCAAATAAGTGTTTGGGATGAACCTTTGGGATTTTGAACACACATTCTTACCCCCTTTTTCTTTCTCCTCCTCTACATCTACCTCCCCCTGCAGCCTCACCTGGCGGCGGACAACCTGGAGCTGATCCGAGACGAGGAAGGGAACAACCTGCTGCACGTCTCCGCCTGCCAGGGTCACGCTGACTGTCTGCAGCATCTCACCTCTCTGATGGGGGAGGACAGCCTCAACGAGCGCAACAACCAGCAGCTCACCCCGGCTGGTCTGGGAGTCAAGGTCAGTGTGTGTGTGTGTGTGTGAGCGTCAGACCTAAAAGTGTGTGTTTACTCACAAATACAGGTGTTAGCTTTAAGATGCAGTGTTCAGCAGACATATTTGGGTAGTTATAGCTTTTTTTATGAAGTAATTCCTTTAGAAGAAACAAAGCAGTTTGAATGTTTTATGAACTATTAAGAAAGATTAGCTCAGTAACACACTGAAATGTTGGTTTATTGTATTTTTCTGACCATTTCGCATAATAAAACGGTGCAGAAAGGAATCTTAAAACCCGGAAATAACATTTTATCGGCCTACATATATACGTCATCACTGCACACTCTATTATCAAAAGTAAAGTTAAGGAAATATTTTTGAATCAATTCACAACCTATAAAAGAGCAATTTTAAACCTTTCTCTCTATTACAATAGAACCCAAATAAAAACGCTGATGGACAGAAATCTTACACATCAAAGTTGTGTCAAGCATTCTTGTGTGATTGTTAAAAAAAAAAAAACAGTTATAAAGTTTTTTGTGCAGGATAAATGTTTCAACCGTATTTCTCGTGCGCATCATAAAATGGCAAACATCTGCCTAATGTTCTCCACTTTGTGGTAATGATTTTGATAAAAAAAACAACAACTTTAACATTGACTAAGAATGTTGACACTTTGTCTCTGGAAAGAACTTCCTCCCGAGCATGTCCTGTTATGTTTTCCCTGCTGTGGAAACTGGGTTTTTGATTGGCTGCCAGAAAGGAAGTGTGTTATCTGGAGACAAGCTGGCAGCTGAGCCCTGATTGGCTCTTATCAAAAAGTTGCTTGTTTATTCAGTCAGATAATGTGATGACGGATTCAAAACCACCTGGTCCTTACTGAAAAATGTTAAATGATGTGTGTGTGTGTTTGTGTGTCTCAGAACGGTCATCTGGAGTGTGTGAGGTGGATGGTGAGTGAGACGGAGGCCATCGCAGAGCTGAGCTGCACCAGAGAACATCCCAGTCTGATCCACTACTCTGCTCGATATGGACAGGTAACACAGAAATACACATTCACATGAATACGAATACACACGCAAGCTAGAGTATCCACCGCCCTTAAAAAGTATAGCGTCTGAAAAGTGTCACCATCAGGACATCATGCAGTTAAACATCATCCATTTGAGTCTGTGGCTGCTTTCACATTTTTAAAGTAGCTCTGTTGTTATTCGTTTATTATTTGTTTAGTGCGGTTAGCATTTTCATTTAGCATGAATACCCTTTCCTATAGTGTGTTCTATAGGTTTCTGTGCATGTAAATGGTCTGCAAAGGCTAAAATCCCTGTGTTCCCTCCAGAGGGAGTTTCTCTCCCACACACTCCCCCCCGGCCTGAAACATCTCCATTTGACTCCTTTGTTTACTTCTGTAACATAATGACATCACTATGTTCAACACATTGTACATGATCGCGGTTGAACAATCACAACAGAGCCGGCCAGCTAACCAATAGGGCCATTTTAAAAATACTAAATTAAATCAATTTAAAAATACTAAATTAAATCAATTTAAAAATACATAGTTGTTATTTAAATAACTACCTTTTATTCGTAGAGTTTAGGAGGGAGAAAAAAAAAGACTTTTGTTTACCGAGTCTGAGGTTAGCCTTTTGCGTAATTGATAAAATAATGTCAATAGTGTTTCACTTCTGGACTTACAGCTTACAGCAACAGTAGCCATGGGAGCCTGCCTGCTGGCGCCAGTCTCAGGACACCTCCACTCTCAGGACAGGAAGTGCATGCACGCTAAGAATTACAAAATAAAATCGCCACTATCAGTACAGCGCCACTTTCCGAACAGGAAATGCACGCAAATACAAAATAAAATCTTACTGACACTTATTATATACATATGTATATACATATGTATATATATATATATATATATACTGTAAAAATAGGGACACCTTGTATTGTTTACTCTCAGTACAGCACCACTTTCTGAACAGGAAATGCACGCTAATACAAAATAAAATCGCATTGACACTTATTATATCTATATATATAGATATATATATTTATATTAGGGCTGTCAGTCGATTAAAATATTTAATCGCGATTAATCGCATGATTGTCCATAGTTAATCGCAAATTAATCGCACATTTTTTATCTGTTCTAAATGTACCTTAGAGGGATATTTTTCAAGTTTTGAATACTCTTATCAACATATGAGTGGACAAATATGCTTTATATGTTTGTTTATTATCATTTGAACAATGACAAATATTCTCATGAATATTAAACACAACAACCTCTGAACATTACAAATATTCGCCTCAATTGATGGATCGTTGGAGCTATGTGCCGCTCAAGGCATATATGCTCGAATGGGAGCTGCCTGGACGCTGCAATCATGTTGCGCGCACTATCCGTGCTGAGTGTGCTGACTTTTCGTACACTGTCTGGCTACCTGCATAAAGTCAAGTGCTCGGCGCAGTTGTCGGCGAAATGTCATTGAAACAGCTCCTTATATCCGTTAGCGCAGCTAGCTAGCACCAGATGCTAACAACAACAACACGTAAGGTGTGCCTCGCTCGCGCCACACATACACACTCCCTCCCGGTCCTCCCGATGGCCAGTCCGGGCCTGCCAGTGAGCGTGGAAGTGTGGTCTGCCACAAGCGGGCGGCAGGAGCGGGGTTGTCAGCATCAGCTTGTAGATGGTATTTTAAACTCGATGCGCTCTGAAACTACGGGGCGGGGCGGCCGAGGACAAAAAATACACATGCGTTAATCGCGTTAAAATAATTAGTGGCGTTAATTTTTTTTTGCGTTAACGCGTTATTAACGCGTTAACTTGACAGCCCTAATTTATATATATAAATAACGACATCTTGTATTTTAGTTACACCCGCTAGACAACAGTGGAGGGTTCGAGAAACAACCGTGTTTGCCGGGTGCACCGCGGCGGAGGTGGGGAGGTTCCAGCCGGGAACCTCCACCCCGCTGCGGGACCCGTGGTGGGACCCCTGTCAGACGGTGCCTCTTGGTCACGCTTCATATCGGCCGGCCCGGGAAGGAAGAGACACGCAGAGTGGGGGAAGTCCCCCACCCCAACGCAGCACACCCTCCCGGCCATCAGAGTCGAACCCGCAGTTCGGAGGTACCGACCGCCAGAGCACCGGCACTAGGCCGGGCCGGTGGAGGTCCTCCGATGGTGGGTCGCGTTTGCCATTCGATCAGTGAGAGGAGAAAAATGCAACAAAAATGGTCAAAATCCGTTAATATATGGATGAGTGGGGGGGGGGAAACGGCTGGACACAGGCCGTGGTGGGACACCCGAGACCGGGCAGTGCAGAAGGAACCGGGTGAAATAGCCAAAAAAAGAAAAATTATATAAAATAGGGGGAAAAGTGAAAAAAAGTTTCCGAAAATAGGCACTCGTGAGGCGGGCAGAGTCCCCTGTCAACTCCCGTTACATTCCTCCATGGTGTCATTTGAGCGAAAAATGGCTAAGTCAACTTTTACGAGAACCAGGCTGGGGGGGTCAAAAGGGCTTGACCAAGGCCGACCCAAAGTGCATGGTGAGCGGACTCATCACCTCCGTGATGAGTCTCCATTGTGATTTGAAAACTTCCATCAGACGAGTCCTTCGGGGGGCGGGGAAAAAAACGTGTTCGTCAGAATCGTCACTTCCTGTACTGAGAGTGGAGGTGTCCTGACAGTGGAGCCTACACCGGAACTGTCCTGAGAGTGGAGGCCTGCAGGCAGACCCCTCTCACAGTAGCAGCTTACATCTCTGCTGTTCCTCTAGTGTTTTTGTAAACATATTAGTAGGATATTATCATTAGATGAAAAATTATTCCAATATTAGTTTTGGATTCAAATGTATCTCATAAATTGACCATGTTTATTGTGGTTCTTAATAGCCCAGCCAATCTTTTTGAACTAACGTCTGTGGGTTGATCAGTCAATGAAATAAAGGCTTCAGTATCGAGTAAAACATTGTGAAACCTGGGGGGGTAAATAAACAAATCAGTAAACTTTTCAGTAAAGTACAGCATGGCCAGCTGTCAGTCACCTGGGTTAGATTTTCCTTGGTGGGTCCACGTAGCGATATGCAGACACACCTTCAGAAACATCCTAACTACTAGTTCCCTACATTTGGTTATGCATGCAATTTTATATTAAGCACCTAAATTGTGTTTGAAGTAGTGCTGTCAATCGCAAAAATATAATTGCGTTAATCCCAATAAAAAATCTATGATTAATCACAAGTTGAAATACTAGTATTAACTTGTATTTTGGGGTGAGATAAAACAAATACACGTGTCATGTTGTAATAAGAAAGGCATGACAAACTGAGAGTTTTTTTTAACTTTATTATAACATGATCACATCACACATCAATCAATCAATCCAGTGGTGGTAAACGGAACAGTGCCATATTTAGTTGATGTTGACATTTGGATGGTTTATTTGCAAATATGAGTGTGTTTTTTTGACCTAGGAGTAATGGGTCTCTGTTTCTTTCTCTGTTCTGTCTCCAGGAGAAAGTGTTGCTGTGGCTGCTTCAGTTCATGCAGGAGCAGGCCATCTCTCTGGACGAAGTGGACCAGAACGGGAACAGTGCGGTCCACGTGGCCGCTCAGTACGGACACCTCACCTGCATACAGGTGGGAGCTGCTGCAAACACACCACTAATACCAACTTAACCCGTCTCTGTCTTCCAGAGTACTTAATTAAAAGTGTAGGAATACTCTGTTACAAGTAAAAGTCCTGCATTTATGTTACTCGAGTAAAAGTAGAAAACTATAAATATAGTTAAAGTACCAAAAGTAAAAGTAGTCATTGTGCAGATTGGTCCATTTCAAAATAATATATATGATATGTTTTATAATGATTGATCATGAAAGTGTTCTCAAAGCTGGTAAAGGTGCAGCTAGTTTGAATGACTTTGTATACTGCAGGGTAGCTTGTGAATTTACTCCAGGTGGAACTACAGTCTGATTTAACACTTGATTATATTTCACATCATTCATCCACATCTGTAAAGCAACTAAAGGTATTAAATACATGATTTACCTCTGAATCTGATATGGGCCATACTGGAAAATGTGTACTTTTACTTAAAGTATATTTTGATTCCAATACTTGTGTACTTTTACTTGAGGACACTGAGTGCTGGACTTTTACTTGTAACAGAGTATTTTTTACAATGTAGTATTTATAGTTTTACTCAAGCAAAAATATCTGAGTACTTCTTCCACCTTTGTGTATAGTACATAGAGCAGGGGTAGCCAACACGGTGCCCGCAGGCACTTAGTCGCCCGCAGGGGCAACGTGAGTCGCCCGCAGGGGCAACGTGAGTCGCCCGCGGGGCATGTTCTAAAAATAGCTCGCCAAGCAAATCCAAAATGTAAAAAATACACAAAACAAAAAAGGAAATGTAATTAAAAGAATCTACCCTATGCATAAACGAAACCTAAATCATAACGAACTCTATCTACTTACTACAACTCTATATCTATCTAACACCCCTCCTCCCCCCACCCCACAATGAATATCGACCAATCACGTTCTTACTTGATTTGCGGGACCAGCGTTGCAGTCTGGAAGAAAAGCAATGTGGAGCGGCAGCTCACCGCTTCATAAGGAGTTTGACCTTGATGTTCCTTCTGGCAGAATCTACACAACACATCAGCCCCATTGAACACAGCCTAGTCGTGCTAGCCTATACAGCACATGAGGGGCAGAGTTTTACTCTGTGTGTGTTGCAACTTGCATATATATTTATTGCACTTGACGCAATCAAAACACTGATAGTTAATGATCTGTTTGATACAATAGCTGCTTTTTCTCAGCAGAGGCAAGTAGATCATTCCTGTGGGAGTGTTATACTATGCATAGGCAGCAGTGCTGAGTGTGTGTGTGTGTGTGTGTGTGTGTGTGTGTGTGTGTGTGTGTGTGTGTGTGTGTGTGTGTGTGTGTGTGTGTGTGTGTGTGTGTGTGTGTGTGTGTGTGTGTGTGTGTGTGTGTGTGTGTGTGTGTGTGTGTGTGTGGTGTGTGTGTGTGTGTGTGTGTGTGTGTGTGTGTGTGTGTGTGTGTGTGTGTGTGTGTGTGTGTGTGTGTGTGTGTGTGTGTGTGTGTGTGTGTGTGTGTGTGTGTGTGTGTGTGTGTGTGTGTGTGTGTGTGTGTGTGTGTGTGTGTGTGTGTGTGTGTGTGTGTGTGTGTGTGTGTGTGTGTGTGTGTGTGTGTGTGTGTGTGTGTGTGTGTGTGTATAGACCCTGGTGGAGTACGGCTCCAACGTGACGTTCCAGAACCAGCAGGGGGAGCGGGCCTCCCAGAGTGCCGAGCGGCAGGGACACACCACCTGCGCTCGCTACCTGGTCGTCGTGGAAACATGCATGTCGTTGGCATCGCAGGTTGTTAAGCTCACCAAACAGCTCAATGAGTAAGACATTGTTTCTCAGTTTTTGTTATTCTTACACTAATAATCTTCAAAACTATAGTTGTTTAAACATTGTCTTCATATCTGCCTTCAAATGCTTTGAATGTATTTACCTAAAGGAGTAGGTTTTTGTACTTTATTCAGCAGGTTTGGATAATCATGAATGCGATTGAATGGATGAATGCAGTCATTTTAACCAATGAGACGACTCATTGAACTTTTATTTTAGAATTCTGTGACATCAACAATACGTTTCTGGATAACTGTAGTGAAGCTCAAAGTGGGGAATCTGGCTGTTGCCATCTTGGGAGTGACACCACAGTTTACCTCCAAATCCAAAAATGGGCGGGAGTTGAGGCAGGCCTGGGTGGTTCAACAGGAGCACCTACCTGTCTTTAAACTTGAACATAGTAAAAATTGGTTTAACATGTTTATATCTGCTGTAAAGTTGGATATTTTAAGTGGGAGTATATGGTATCATATCATTGACTCCCTTTTAGAGCCAGTTTTCTGCAAACTGCAGTTTTTAAACCTTCCGAAAGCTAATTAAAAGCTAAATCTTTGTCATATGGAGGCAGATAGGTTCCGTGATTGCATTTCAGCCAATGCGTTTTGCCTCTTTTGCTCTCCAAACATACTGTTTACATGCATTCAACCAAGTACTGCAGTCTGTTGCCCACAGATTCTTCAAGTAAAGGTCGTTTTTTAAGAGATGAATTCAGCGTTAACCCTGTTGTGTGTATGTGTTTGTCATGTAGACAGGCAACAGACAGGATCACTCTACAGAAACAACTGCAGGGACTGATGGACCCCAACAAGACAGAGGGTTCACCTTCAAGATCACCCAGGTATCACACACACACACACACACACACACACACACACACACACACACACACTAGACTAGACTAGACTAGACTAGACTAGACTAGACTAGTCTAGTTGCCAGCAGTGGGAACCCGGAAATGTTGAGTTTATGTTGGAAATGTAAAGTACGGGTCCCCAACACAAAGAAACTGCTGGATGCTAACTTGCATATGTTGGGCAATTAGCAAAATTAGCACAAGTTGCATTATTTAGCATATATAAATACACCTTGATGATATGCGGACAATTGCAAAAACATTTGGTGTGGTTTTGGAGGTTATTGAGGCTCTTGAATCCATTTCTGACAATATCAGGATAAAAAATGACAGTTTTGAGACCCCTAAAACTTTCAAATCGACCAAAAAGGTATCAAAATCTGCCCAGAGAGAGTACAAACATGGCTCAACTACACCTTACTGATGTCAATAGACTGACAAGTAAGCACAGCAGAGACTGGGGAGTCACGACGCTAACAAGAACTTCTAATCAGAGTTTAAGATTAAAAACAAATAATCGCAGCAGCATTTACAGTTTTGTTAGGTGGAGCAACTTAAATACACCATCTGCACCAGCAATAGGGCTCGATACAGGTGAAGAACAAGTGAATGAAAATATGGATATGCATTTTATTAGTGCCTTTCTATTCTTCTGACATCCCAATATTTACCCATTCAAACACATTCAAAGACATTCATACACGCTTCGTATCAGGTTCTGATATAATGCTCATTCACAAAACCATGGTTTTGCCCCCGGGAGAAATGTGGCCTTTAGGTTCAAAGGACACGCAGTCAGAAGGGCTGGAGATCTACCTGCTTCTCAGTTTAGTCAGTCTACATCCTGAGCCACAACCAGTAGTAGTTTTAGCAGCAGGTGTAGCAATGTAATTTTATGAATTATTGATTTGTTTTTTTTTCATTTAGTTTAATTTATTTAGAGAAAGAGCTCCAGTAGTGGTACATTTAATATGGTAGAAAGCCAGTACTATTATTAGTTAATGTAGTAGTCTGGTTAAGTAATAATAGTATAAGCAGTATTGAGGGTGTTGTTCTTTGTATTAGTTTTAATAATAATAACGATCAAAGGCATTACCTTTAACTTACACATACAAAAAATAAATAAAGTACATTTATTTGTCTCCCTCTCTGGACTCCAGCTCCCATCAGCCCTCAGTGGAGGCGTGGCCGGAGATGATGCTGACAGCAGAGGGGACTCCAGGTGACGGTTGGTTGGTTCGTCAGGGAGGGGTGGGCCCAGACCCCGTGCTGCGGCAGCTGCTGGGGAAGGACACGCTGGGTCCCAGGGAGAGGCTGCCTCCGGCGGGGGGCCCCGTGGCCCCTGGGGCCCGCAGGCCGGGGCTCGTGGAGAGGAGAGAGCTCAAACTAGCCAGACTCAAGCAGATCATGCAGCGCTCTCTGAGCGAATCAGATTCAGACGGTTATCCACCAGAGGAAGGTAAAACTCAAGACGCCTCTGCCTCAAACACACTGCGACCTGATAGGCCGTCCCACCTGCCAATCACAGAGGAGGAGCCAGCGCCAACCCAACTTACCCTGACGAATAGGAAGCCCCTCCCCTCCTCCTCGTCTTTCTCTTCCACAGCTGAGAGGAAGCTGGCGTTTACTCTCAGCGGGTCCAAGTCAGCGGATAGCGTCGGAGTCAACCCCTCCCCCACCTCCAGCGACCCCGAGGCGGCCGACGGTAAAACTCCAGATGCTCCCGTCGACCTCCACGACGGCGCTAACGGGCAGAAGGTTGCCACCAGCCCCAAGAGCGCCCTGAAGTCGCCCTCGTCTCGCAGGAAGACGTCTCAAAACCTCAAACTGAGGGTCACCTTCGACGAGCAGGTGCACAAGAGCACCACTCAGGAGGCAGAGCAGACCAAAGGGCATCATGGGAAGGAGAGGACTCCAACAGGAAGCTCTGAAAGCAAGCGGTCGTTCGGGGCGTTCCGCTCCATCATGGAGACTCTGAGCGGAAACACAAACCACAACAACAACAACAGTCAGCCAGGCTCCACCTGTCAGAACTCACCCGGCAGGAAGTCAGAGAGTAAAGGCAGCCCAGCAGGAGGGGGGGGGGCCCGGGGCAAGAGCAAAACCAGTAATGTTTAACTAACCAGTGCCCCCTGAAGGACAGAGAGCACATAGCAAACAAAACACAGCACAGAGCACACAGAGAGAGGCAGCCAACATGAGAAATGTATCGTGAGTAACCTAAAGTAGGGTGTCCTTTTTTCTGTTTCATCAAAATTGAACACGCGTACTGAACACTTTCACTAACAAACATGGCAGGAATCAGCAGAACTTAATAGCACATATATCTTTAATGTCCATAGAAGGATAAACGTCTATAAATCCATTTAGAAATTGGATGAAATAATACAATTCTAAAAAAAGTTTGGATGTATTCCACAGCTAAGACACTAGTCAACTTGTTAAAAAATGAGGTCCTATTTATTTTCCTCACCACTCCTAACCGAGAAATGTCACTGGTCAAGGAAAGAATAAGAAGGAGAATTCATCAGGATTTAGGAAAAGAAAATGTGGGTGGTGAGAGAATCCGACTGGGCGGCGTGTTCAGGATGCTGATTAGCTGAAGTCCGTTTTACACTTTATATATTATACACTATATATCTGGTATATTGAAACTACACGCCGATTAGGAAATCGGTCTTTTGGTAATTTATCACCGATAAAATTAAATCAATACATTTCATTTCACTTCGACTTAAAAGTCAATTAGTGAAGGTGACTTTTCGATGAAGACCATTAAAAGTTCAAATGTTCATCTTAAATCCGGGTAAACAACATTTGTTCTCTTTTACCCATAATCCCCCCACATTACTTCCTCAAACATACTTGATTATATACTAAATATTTCCTTAAAAAGGTTTCAGGCAACTTTTTGAATAAAAAAACCTTTACTCAAGGTCCACTGACGAGCTTTTTATAGATCTTGTCTTTCCAAGAAATCGTTTGAGTTAGGATTATTTCACTTTCACACTCTTATGAACAGTTTAAAGTGAATTGTTATTTGTTTCAGTTTGCTTACCATACGTTTCTCATGTTCTTTGCTTCCTATGTTTGACTCTTGATGTTTTTTCTACAGTTTAAGACAAACAAAGCTGTTGCTGTTTGTTTTCTTGTTCACATGCGTTGAATCGCTACAAAGTGAATAAGAAGAACATAATAATGTGTTTTAATGATACTGAAGCAATTGCTTTTATTGAAGGACTGAAAAAAGTTGGAGTATTAATCAGCGTCCTGTAGAAATCTCACATCAGCAAAAAAAATACTTTCATACATTTTGAATTTCTTCACATTTAAGGTTACATTGGTTTACTTAAACTAAAAGGTGTCAAATGTTTTCTAAACAGAAAGCAAAGTTACTCTGAACTCCACTAAATATGAAGTATTAGTATTTATGTTTATGCACACCTATGATTTGTTATAATTGTGCACCTGGTTAACGTGCACCAGCACAAATAGTTTTAAAACCACTGTATATAAAGTAGTATTTAATTTTCCTTTGCATCATATTCCAAAATTATTTTTTTTATTTTCATGGGTATTATCTATGCAGTATTTTTGGCATGAAGTGGACTTTACTTGTGTGATGTGTTTGAGACTGGGAGGTTTAAGGATGCACCTTCTAGCGGCAGACAAACGGCAGACCTTATGAACTTTAAGAGACAGAAGTTGATCATTCCAACTCCAGAGATTTTAAACTCCTGACAAACTTTCCCGAAGCTTAAAACCTGACAACTGGGGCTGTTTCAGTGTGGCAATACTTGGTAGCTGGAATTACGATATTAATTGTAAATAACTAAATAATGTGGGTACCCATCACAAGTTTGAGAGATTTTCACGTTTTGTACTACGACAAAAAATACGTCAGTAATTAATCTACTCGTGAATCTCTGCTAACAAGTGGCTAAATGAGACTACTTAACGGGGAGGAACGTTAGCCATCTTTAGCTTAGCGGGAGTGACATGAATTTATTATTTATTATGACATTATTTCTGGCTATTGCATTTACGCTGCAACTATTTTAAAGAAGTGATGTTAATATGTTCAGATTATCCTGCCAAACAAAATGTGTTAGTATTGAGACTCTTAAGCCTTACTAGCAGCTTCAAGAGGAAGCAACCTCAAAGTTTACCAGGGTAGGACGGAACTGTTCTGTTCAGCAGGATAATCCCCACATATCGCGATTGCCAGAAGTAAAAACCTAATGTTAGGCAACATTACGGTCACATTTCGTCACGTAAACACCGCTAAGCTAAAGGCTGCTAATGTTTGGGGTGATGACGTTTAGTTGTCTCATTTAGTCACTTGTTTATTAAAATGATAAATGATACAAATACAGAATTCAGCCTTGGCTCTCTGTTGCTTTGGTAGAACCTGGATCTCACCTGTTATGTGTAGTTTCCATGTTTAGGGTTGATGCAAATACTGTTTTTGGTTCCGATGCAGCGGAATACTTCTCATTGCTTAGAGCTGTGAGACTCTGGTGTGTTTTCTACTCAGATTTATTTCTAGCTTTACACAATCTTTGGCTGTTGAGGTTATGATGGTGGATATTTTTGAGGCAGTGGATTCTGGGAGGATTTCCTGCATCCGCTTTGCTGGTTCTGACTTTTTAAAGGTACAGTCCAACATAAAAAGGTTGGCAGCTTCATCTGTACATTTGAATGATTAAGTGAAGAAAGAGAACGTGGGATTTCTTATTCGGTTAAGACTTAAGCCATTTGTTAGTTGGTTAAATGTGAGGGTCTTTGAAGGTTCCTGGAAATAAGGATGATTTGTTACCTTCCAAATGATGCATCCAGTTATTTCATTCCAATAAATATAATGGCTTGCAAATAATACATAATATATTTCCAAATGTAATAATATTACTAAATATGAACTTGGTTTTAAATGGATCCTTTCAACTTATAATTCATATTTCAACATAGCTAGCTAAAATAATTTGCCTATATTTTTCTTCATAATCGGTTCTTTCCAAGGAAACTGAGTGTTGCCAAACTTTTTTAGGGAAGTTTTCCAGACTCCATTGCCTCGGAATCAAGTTCGCTGCCAAAACAATCAGTGTTATGTCTATGGGTTTATTTGTGTCTGTGAGCTTGTATTTAAAATGCAGTTTATTTTATTCACAGTTTCTTTATTTCAAGCATTCCTTCAGGAGGAGGAAGGCATCTCTGCATTGTTCTAACAGAAACAAACTGAACTCGTCCTCTCTGTTTTCGGTTTACTATGAACTCTTGAGACGGACAGTGGTGCTGCATTCTTTCAGAACAAAACGACGCAATATCAGTGAAGGTCCGAGGAGACTGTCCGATGTGAACTTAATGTGCGATCCTAAGAAGTGAAAAAGAAGCTGAACGAGTGGGACAATGTTTCAAGAACATTGGAATTAAGATTTGTAATCACATTGACTTTTCTTGACCATCCACTGATGTTTCTTTTTGTACAGAATGACGGACATTTGTTATTTGACATTAAAGCACCACACAGGTGTTTTGCATCTTTTCAGCTGAGCTCTTCCTTTGCATGACTTCATTCTACTGTTTGCCTCTTAATCATTATACGATTGTTGGCTTAATATCACTTTCCTTTTTCCCAGGAAGCCATTGGTCTTTAGTTCACTTCTTTGAGAACCAACCAGCAAAGACCTGACCCTTCTGTCTGCTGCCGTACCACAAGTCAGTATTGAACTCGGTACCTTCACTTCAGTAGTTCATGAGTAAAGAAAACGAGGGGTTACGTATGGTAACCCTTGTTATATAAGCACAGGCGGAGCCCTCTACTGGACTCTATGGGTACTACCCCTTGATCATATCATGCAAGCATTCATCCACTGAGACTTCTATAAACGTAGCCGGCCCCGGGGCGGGCCTACCTGAATGTGCACGCATCTCACCGTATAAAAGGAGGCCTCGCCTCCTGACCGTCATCCTACACCTCTCTTCAGCGAGCGCCATAGGACCGACAGGGCCCAGAGTAGAGGGCTCCGCCTGTGCTTATATAACAAGGGTTACCATACGTAACCCCTCGTTATATCTCTCACAGGCTTCGCCCTCTACTGGACTCTATGAGTACAGTGGGTGGAGCCCCGATGTATACACGCGCTGTCGTCCAACAACTCCAGTCCCGGGATGTGGAGGGCTCTCAGAGACAACACCACCTCTGAAGCCCATATCCACAGTTTCTCCGCTGTGGACAACAAGGCGGCGGAGCGGATTCCGCCCTGCCTGTTGATGTACGCCACTGTGGTGCTGTTGTCGCTCCTGACCAGTACATGTCTCCCCTGAATTAAGGGTTTGAAATGCTGGAGGACCAACACTACTGCCCGTAGCTCTAGGAGGTTGCTGTGCCGTGTTTCTGTTAGAGACCAGCGCCCACCTATAGCTCTCTTCAGGCAGGTCCCTCCCCATCCTGTTCTGGATGCGTCCGTAAACACTGTGATGTAGGAGGTCACCCGTCCCAGTGGAGACCCCCTCCGGAGGTGATCCGGGGACCCCCAGAACCGGAGGTTGCCCTCCACTGAGGGGGGGGTGGTCACCAGACGTCGTTTGTGCCTCTTGGGATCTAAACGCAGGCTGGAGAACCACCTCTGCAGGCGGCGCATATGCAGTAACCCGAGCGGGACCACAACGTGAGCAGCCGCCATGAGACCCAGAGTCTGCATGATAGTCAAAGCTGTCGCTGTTGCCCCCTGTCGCAGTCTGCGAACCACCCGAAGCAGGGACGCGCGTCTGCTCTCTGACAGGGTGGCGCGTAGCCCGCCTGCATCGAGCACCACTCCCAAATACAACGCCTGTTGGTGAGGTATGGGGGTGCTCTTTTTCCAATTGATCGCAAAGCCCAACTTGGTTAGGTGTAGGACCAATTGGGCTGTGCAAAACATTGCCCATTCCCTGGACCTGGCCATGACTATGAGGTCGTCCAGATAAAAGAAAACTTTCATGCCATGGGCGTGCAGCTGCTGGAGCGCTGTGGCCACACATTTGCTGAACGTGCGTGGGGATAGGGAGTAGCCGAACGGTAATCTGTTGTACTCGTAGGCTATCTCCTGGAAGGCAAAACGCAGATACTTTCTGTGCTCGGGAGCAATTTCTACATGAAAGTACGCGTCTTTCAGGTCGATGGTGGGGAACCAATCGCCCGGCTGCACTAGCCCAGGGATGCAAACTTGTCACCTTTCGGCGAAATTCGCCGTTTTGAATCCAAAATAGGTCGTTTGTGTGATTCATGTAGATCTGCAATAAAAATATTTTTGGGGTATGGGGGGGGTCAGGGACCCGGAGTAATCTGCGGCCGCGAGCTGTTATGTGCCATCATGACACGCATGGTGTTCTTTTTTTATATATTATAATGAAGCGCGAGCTGTGTGCTCGAGTCTTCCTGCCTGTCGGCTCTGCTCATGGATGTATAATAAGGCTCTGCTGCTCCGCGATGATGGTCTAGCTTCAGCAGCTACATTACCTACGGGTGCGTTCGTTAATATTAACTGTGTGGTCCGGAGTCACTGTGGCACAGACTGGACCGCTGGTGAACAGCTGTTAGAACGGGCCGTTCAGGTGTTCAGAGCAGAGCTCCCTGTCGGAGCGCAGAGCGTGATGTGCACTGAAAAGTTTTCCTGTCGCAATATTATCGTTGAGCTAGCTAACTAGCATACATTGTCACTATCTGCTAACGTTAGCTTTAGCCTTCGTTTTCTAATCGTTTTTTTCATAGGCTATAAACGGAGGTGGTATAAGTATATATCTTGTACTTGAGTAAAAGTAGAAGTACTCAGATCTTGTACTAGAGTAAAAGTAGAAGTACTCAGATCTTGTACTTGATTAAAAGTAGAAGTACTCAGGTCTTGTACTTGAGTAAAAGTAGAAGTACCAGAGTGTACTCTGTTACAGTAAAAGTCCTGCATTCAAAATGTTCCTCAAGTAAAAGTATAAAAGTATTATCATCAAAATATAGTGAAAGTAGCAACAGTAAAAGTAGTCATTGTGCAGATTGGTCCATTTCAGAATAATATATATGATATGTTTTATAATGATTGATCATGAAAGTGTTCTCAAAGCTGGTAAAGGTGCAGCTAGTTTGAATGACTTTGTATACTGCAGGGTAGCTTGTGAATTTACTCCAGTTGGAACTAAAGTCTGATTTAACACTGGATTATATTTCACATCATTCATCCAGATCTGTAAATTAACTAAAGGTATTAAATACATGTAGTGGAGTAAAAGTACACCATTTACCTCTGAACTGTAGAGGAGTAGAAGAACAAAGTAGCAAAACATTGAAATACTTAAAAGTACAAGTATCTCAAAATTGTACCCAAGTATAGTACTTGAGTTTATGAACTTAGTTACTTTACACCACTGGCTATAAAGATAGAAAGACAGCCTTGCACAGAGGCATGAAAATACATTTTCAAAATGCTCAACAGTGCTGCCAAAATTATAAACTGACTGCTACACAATTAAAATAAATGCTTTTATATATTTCTATTAGATGTGACTCTTTGGCGTTTCTGTTATTATTAACACTGCTGCTTTAGTTGTTCTGACTGCTAAAATCCTCTGTTATTCCTCATTTTAAAAACGATATTCCGTGGGGTCGGGGGGGCTCAGATCCTTGTCACCTTTTTCATACCTGATGAGTTTGCATCCCTGACTAGCCCCAGTAACTGTTTTATAGTTAACATGCGGAATTTTCTGCAGGCAATGTGCTGATTCAGGCTGCGGAGATCTAGAATAGGTCTGAATTCCCCGGTCTTCTTGGGAACCAGGAAGTACATGGAATAAATACCCCTTTCTCTGTGTTGAGGGTGCATGACAGACACTGCCTGTTTTTGCACCAGGGCCTGAATCTCTGCCGAGAGGAAACCCATCTCCTCCTGGGATGATAGATGTACCTCTTGTATGCCTTTGAATGGAGGTACCTCTTGTATGCCTTTGAATGGAGGTGGGATGCTGCAAAACTGGAGTGAATAACCCTGTTTCAGCGTCCTGTCCTTCCACTTTGTTAATACACAGCTGAGTTTCCATTTCCCATAACATTGTGTTAGGGGACAAGCCCTCAGCTGCGGGGCCCCAGCTATAAAGCTGTGGTACTCCCTGGTGACCCGCTCCGCCGCAAAACTCCCCGTGAAGGGAAGTTCTGCCCATGGGGGGTCGACACAGAAAGGGCCGATTTTTTACTGAGGTCCCTGAACGTGCGCGCTCTTGTGTGAACGCGCGCTCCGCCATAATGTCCCCTTTACCCCTACGGTAAACTGCATTAATCTGAGTCTTTACTCAAGGCGTAGTGTGTTCCCTGACAGTAATACGCCGGCCATAATGCCCCTGTACCCGCATAGCGCCTTGATAGCACTTCCTGCGGTTTATCACTCTCATCTGCGCATGCCCACTAGCTATCTCCTTTATTGGACTTACAACTGGGGCAGCGAGTGGGGAATTTGTACAGTCAACATTATGTGTAAGTGTAGAATTGTGGAAACAAATGACACTTAGACTTGGATACATATCAACATCATTTTTATTGTAAAAATGTTTTGACCTTTGCATCATACAGGGAGGAGGCGGGATTAGCCCTTGCGTGATGATACGTGCCGTGGCTGCTATTGGGGCCTTCGTCCTCAATGGCTGCTGCCACGTCGCCTCCACACACTGCCAGCTTTTTCCTTACTCGTTTACTGCTCAGATTGTTTAATCCTGCTCGCTGAAGAGAAAAGGATGACAGTCAGGAGACCAGGCCTCCTTTTATACTGTGAGATGCGCGCGCATTCAGGTCGGCCCGCCCCGGGGCCGGCTACGTTTATAGAAGTCTCAGTGGATGAATGCTTGCATGATATGATCAAGGGGTAGTACCCATAGAGTCCAGTAGAGGGCGGAGCCTGTGAGAGATATAACATTAGATCTACTTGATACAGAAGGACTGTTGCTGCGTCAAACCATTTTGTTCAGTTAAGTGCAAGCAAAACAACACACCTACTAGAGAATGATCACATTATGATTGTTTGTCTTTTATTTGTTGTGTAACCAAATAGTAACTTGCTCTTGATTCAATCTAAAAAGCTAAGTAGTCCCCATATGAGAACTGTTAATGACGCTAAACATTTAGCAGCTTAAAGTGGACCTATCATGCTATATTTGAATAATATAGTGTAGGACCATACCTATATAAGGCATATTTATACTTTTTTTTTTTCAAAATACCAAACAGATCATGCATTTTAGCCATGCCTCATTTTGCTCAATTTGACATTTTTTAGCTCTGGCTTTGCAAGGGCAGATTCAGTGAGAACAGCACCACCTACAGGCCTGGCATATGTACTACAGCGTCTCCAGCGCTTTCGAACGGCAATGGCCGTGGCTGTCTCCTCCTGATTGGTGGAGTTGGCCCAATAGCCGTAGCCGTAGCGCCACTGTCCTGACGTCAGGACAGTGTTCAAATCTGGATCAGTTTTTATCAGATCCGTTGCAGCCCCTTTTTTAGAGATTTGGGTATGGAGGAAAATAGAGAGGG